TGTTGGACTGACTAGACGCTAGGCACCCAACCTTACAACACCTTGTAGGTGAGGCAGCGGGTGCGTTTCTCTACCTGGTCCGGAATGCGGACGCCTGTAGTCAAAGCGGTGGATACAGCCGCGCCCAAAAACGATTGCCGGAGCCAGATTGTCCATTGCGGGTGTAGATCCCAAGCCTTCATCAGGCCCAAACCAACCGGATCTGGAATAGGAAGGCGAACATCAGCAGTCTGGAGTGCAGCCCAGCTGGGAAGGGATTAAGGAAAGAAGTAGCAAGACATCAACGACAAATTCTAATCAAGGATGGTGCTTAGGTCATAATTCTGGTAATAGGATGTTATCGAAATATGTCTAGCTCTACAGATCAAAAATGGAGGTGGATACGCGTATTGGCAGAACATCAGTTGATGCAGTGGAAGCTGCTAGCTGGTAGGCATATGCCCTGCGGTTGTGCAAATCCAGTCGTGTGCAAACGCAATCAGAAAAATAGTAAGAAAGGAAAGGCGTGTCACAATACGTATAAAAGTATGTATCAACGTAGATTGTGCTCCACCGATCCAGCTTCGAACCTGGATCTATGTGCTGATATGAAGTTTGTTGAGATATTGTTCACTGCTGCCTGGTTACCATGTGTCACGGAGATGAGCCAAGTGAGTCGCATGAAAAGGCAATAAGATTTGTATGAGTTATGCAAAAATGAGTCAAAATGCCGAGAAAAGTATGCACCAAAGTATACTATGTTCCACAGATCCAGCTTCGGAGTTGGATCCGTGTACTGATATGAAATTGGTTGAGAAAGTAGACACTGCTACCTGGTTAGCATGTGCCGCGGAGTAGAGCCAGATGAGTCGCATGAAAAGTCAATCAAATGGATACGAGTTAGGTAAAGCTGGATCAGAATACTCATATGCTATGTACCAAAGTATACTGTGGTCCACGGATCCAGCTTCGATGTTAAACACGTGTACTGATATGAAATTGTTTGAGAAAGTGGATACTGCTACCTGGTTGGCATGTGCCACGGAGTAGAGCCAATTGAGTCGATTGTAAACGCCTTCAGGTGGTTATGAATTAAGGACTGATGGGTCACAATATTTATACTGCTTTTCTGACCCTTTGAACTGGGGGTGATTCTCTTGGAAAGTCCCCTGGATCATCATTTTTTTGGCAGCATGCCTCTGTCTCAGACAGCTTATTGGCGGTGACTAAGATGATTTAGTCTAATACCTTCGGGATCATTTTACTGGCTTTGACTTGGGGAGAGAGACCTACAAGTAGTGCCTTCACCTCCAACTACTCAGTCTCTAGTTTGGCAACTTTCGTCTTTAGAGTTAAGACCACCTCGCTGTGTGATAAGATTAGCTTGTTTTTCATCTTTGGGAAAGTGTTGACCACCGCGTTGTCAAGACGCATATGTAAGGTTTCCTCATACAGAGATACATCTTAGATTGAGACAGTATCGTTATTTTCTGCTATAATTTTAAGAGTAAGTTGTGATATAGCGATGATATATGAAAAATACAAAAAGGCACTAAATGAAAGATACCGTAGAGTGCTAAACAGTATTACGCACTAAATTCTGACCGATTGGGACATTAGAATCCGTGGCCAGAAACGTGATACCAAAGGTGTCAGAAAGAGAATTAATAGCAAATAAAGCGGAGAGTTATTTCGAAAAAGTACACTTTTAGATTGGAAAAACGAATTACCAGAGCGAGCACTAAACAATTTCAACTTGGCGCCAACTCACGGCAGGGCCCAATCAAGAAGAACCCTCTCTTGTGAACAATTTGTTCAATGTTACATGACTTCCAGTTGCCTAATACTATATTCCGCGCAAACGGTGTTACTCGTATGAGCAATGGTTTAAACGACTGCATACCGATGGGTGTCGGATACCCCCTAATGGAATCTTTAGCAAAGCGAACTCCAGGCGTCACTTCCAATGAACTTATTCGTTGTAGCACTTCCTTAAATACATTCACTAATGAAGACCGAGGAGACAAGTCTGTCTTGATGTGTCTATTTTCCTATTCCACTCGGTTCGTAGTTAGGTTGCCCAAGGTCAACCTAGTCCTCACAGCATACACTCTCGGTACGGTAATCAAGTTCGGCTACGAATTTCTACGACGGCTAGGAATCTACGAAACGATACCTCACTGTCACAGTACACCATGTTCCGCATCCATTGAAAGAAGCGCTGCTTTTCGAACGTTGGCATACCAGATAGCTGGTTAAATTTCTTCTTCGTATCATTCACAAGACGAAACGACGGAATATCACATTTGAGGATGGAAAATATCTTGAAAAGTGTAGTACTGAGCCAAACTACGATCAACTACCATAGCCTTACATTGTGCAAAGGCTGGGCGCATAGCGTTCACAGCACATCTGTAGCTCTCAAAGTTCTCATTCGGCAAGATAGCATCGAAGAAACTTCTACGTAAGCCGGTGTCGTCTACAAGCATAGCATGCCAAAGCAATTGCCCACCACAGTTAAGCTGATGCGCGGCGTCTTCTAACAAAACCTGACGACGCAGAAAAAAATAAATGTGACGAACGACGCCTTCGTTCAGCTTTATTCTAACTTCTCTCAGATTCTCCATCATATCCGAAACTTTTACCGCATCGCCACGAGAATCCAAATGAGATCTTTGACATTTGGATCTAATATCGAGTTATATATATATGTTTATATATATCTACATATATATATATATAGAGTTAGGGGTCTGTTGAACGGGTGTGTGGCGAAATCCCTTAGCTCGCGAGTACTTCTAAAAGTGTCCATCAAAGAACACACTTCCTCTTCCTGTTCTTCGGATAGACGACGATTAATAATAATAATAATAATAGATGTATATTTCGCGAAGCCCGTGAGGCATGCGCAAGACATGATCAAATGTTCGGAGCGAGTAGATGTACAATAACAGTGTAGGTACATAGATAGACAAAAAGAATGGTGGGAATCGGAACGAAAACACAGTGCAAAAGGAACAAAAACCGGACAAGGGCACCGACAAATTTATGGAAGATGGAGGATGCATTGAAAATGCATGTCACTAAAACTGAAGCACTGGTAAAACTGGTCTCGGAAGGATTGGACGTACGGCAACAGTGGGGGGAAATACGGAGAGAGAAATACGGTCTGTGGAACAAATGCTGCCTGATGGTGGAGGCATTAGGACAGGAATAGAAAGGAAGGAATACAGCCGGAATAATACGTCGGTAAATGAAATGCTGCAATAAGACTCTCTTCTGAGGGACAAGTTCATTTGGTTCGGGGCTACAATCGATCAAGGAGTGATTTGGATTATTTAGATTAATTACTTATAAACAAACCCCGCTGACCCACATAGAAGTCATGGTTGTGCATCAGACAACGTTTCATCAATCGGTCCTCCCTCCTGACCACGCAAATTCCAGCGAATGTCGTAAAATCGATTTTCTGCAGCTTAAAGCAGGTTAAATACTTTAGAAATGAGAGTCATAAATACCTGGTTGCCGCGCCTTCGATGATGTACACAGCAATGTTTGATGAATTTATACAAAAATCCCTCAGGAAGCGTCAGTTTCTGATCAAACTTTCTTTCTCGTATCAGTTATTCCGTTGTTATTGATGCATAAACGTAGAAGGAAGTGCAGGTAACCCTTCGGAATTCACGGAAGTCCTCTAAAAATCCTTTCAGCGATCCATAGCAATTTTTTACCGCTCGTTGAAAAACGACCACATCGTCAACATTAACCATGGTTGGTATGAGCGTGGAAGTGATGGTCGCCATTAGATTGATCTATTTATACTTTCCAAACAAAGTTAATTAAGGTTAAATAAAACGAATTACATTTTAAAAAGTCAGTCCGAATCAGCCATTTTATTCGAATTCGGCATCGAGATTTCTAAAATATATTTAAAAATCGGTCGTTTTTAAAACACTTAATAATTGGGATGCCACAAATCTACCACCAGGAGAGAATTCCAAATGTTGGCCACTCTATTGAATAACTGGTACACTGACGGAAGTCCGTATGACTCCTGCTTCTGAAGCATGAAACGGTGACCACGAGTACGTGCATCATGGCGTAATGGAAATTTGTATTTCAGCTCCTCCCCCAGATTACCGCGGATAATCTTCCTGGTCCGCAGGATGTCACCGCGATGGCGTCGATAACTCTCCATGTACAAGTCCGTAATGACAAGAAGCTGGTTATATCTATGTCCTCGTAGATCCGCAACAAGACGGGTAGCTGCTCGTTGAACGCGTTCAATCTCCGCCAGCTGTTCCTTTGTTATGGGAAAAGCTTCCACTCCCCCATACTTCATACGAGGACGAACAACCGTGGAATACAGAAGTTTAAAAGCCTGCTTCAACAGCGGCTCAAACGATCGACGGATTGCTTCAAGGATGCCCCATGCAGAAGCACGTACTTTATCCTTGTGGCCTCTGGTCTTGACGGACGATGCAATGATCAACCTTAAGTCCCTCTCGTGGTCACTACTCCTGAGGAGCACATCATTTAGTATGTAAATCGGTCTGATTTCAGCGCGACCGATTTTTATATGTACACACTTACCGATAATGATGGGGAGTGCCCACTCTTTCGTTCACTAAGATAAACTATCCAAATCCATTCGTAGGGTTGACACGTCTAGTGGCAACTGAAGTAGTCTAAATTTACCGATCGAAACGCGATTTTCCGGCTCCGATCGAAACGGAAAAGACCTTGTCTGTACGCGTTCAGTCAAGTGACCCTTCGCTCAATCTGGATAAATCTCAGAGCAGCGCGTGGCCCAAATTATTGAGAACCAAGTCAATCCAAAAATAATCAACAATAGTACTTTTGCAATAATACAAATACATGAGACAGTCATACCTCTGATAGTAAGCCTGATTCACTATCCAGCCAAAAATGTTACAAATATTCACAGAAAATATCCGCAATAATAAAAAGTAAATAAGAAAATGAGTGATTTGAATTACCTTTCAGATAATTCTCGACCAATAAGAAAATTCTGCTCGCTTCAACAGATCAAGCAAATTAATCTTGAGCGTTACAGCCAGAAGGGGTTCAATATAGCCGAAATCAACAAGGAGCGTATAATTGAAAACTTAGTTGCAATAAAACAAGAAAAAGCACTGAATATCATTTATATATAAGAGCAAAGCATTTGAAGTGTGCCCAATAGATTTGCCTCACCGTAAAAACTGTGAAATAGAAGGTTCAGAAGAGAAAATTCACCAACACGAAAACCACTGTTGGAACAAATGCACGGAAAAATGGCGAAGAAAGATAAGGAAATGCAAGGTAATTGGGAAGAATTTTCCTTCTTTTTGACTGTTACATCCGGCACCACGTTGATCACTAAGCGCTTCGCCGTAAGAAGCAACATCACGACCCGACCATCTTCCCTGACGATCGGTGAACGGCACCAAGGAGACATCCGACGAATGAAGCAAACGTGACGTTGGTTTTCCTAGATAATGGTGAACAAGTAGAGATAACGGAAGCTTTCACCATCGCCGACTTGCCGATGCGAGCAGTGGAATCGATCGGGTAATTAGCAACACACTGACCGCACCTGCGAGACTTGTGCTTTGAAGAAGCCGACTTTCCCGAAGTTGAAGTTAGGCTATTACACTGCATTATCCAGAACCCGGTCCGCGATTTATTTAACGCTTCCCT